CTGGTGTGGTTCTCAAGCTATATCTTGCTCTAGTTAGGCCCCATTTAGATTATGCAGTTCAGTTTTGGTCGCCATATTATAGAATGGATATAAATTCACTTGAACGTGTCCAGCGTAGGATGACTAAGTTAATTCCCCAAATTAGAAATCTTTCATATGAAGAAAGATTAACAAAGCTTAAGTTGCATTCACTGGAAAGGCGAAGAGTTAGGGGTGACATGATAGAGGTTTACAAGTGGATGAATGGACATAACCGGGGGGATATTAATAGGGTATTAAAAGTATCAACACAGGACAGAACACGAAACAATGGATATAAATTGGATAAGTTTAGATTTAGGAAAGACTTGGGTAAATACTGGTTCAGTAACAGGGTTGTTGATTTGTGGAACCAATTGCCGCGTAACATTGTGGAGGTGGGGTCCCTCGATTGTTTCAAGCACGGGTTGGACAAGTATATGAGTGGGATTGGGTGGTTATAGAATAGGAGCTGCCTCGTATGGGCCAATAGGCCTTCTGCAGTTACCTTTGTTCTTATGTTATGTTCTTATGTTATGTTCTTAAGTCAGAGTGTAGTGTTCAACCTGGGAGGCTAGGAAGGGTCATCCCTAAGGAATTAGAGCTTATGTGTGGAGGCAAGGATCGCCACATCTCCCTTTGTGTGCATTCATCGATTTATAGAAATTCAGTTATTAAAAGTAATTGTAGTAATAATCAACCTGGCTTAAGTACTTATGTTAATTACATCAATTTGAGTAAAAGAGTCAACCACCCTTACGGGACTATGATCATGTGAGTCAGTTAACATTGGGACTAGTTTAAGGGAGACACATGGCCCACCCATCTACTCAGCAAATAGCCTTTGTGATAGTAATTCCTAGCTACCACCTTGGTTGTAATTCAGTAATATAGCGAAATTCAAGCATTATTCTGTATTGTCGTTAATAATCAACCTTGCTCAAGTACCTAGGTATTGTTCCATTTGTTTTGGAATAATGATTAAGTCACCTTTAGTGACCCAGAGCAATTGGGTCTAGCTTTGTTAATTATCTTTGAAAATTAGTTTGGCTACTAGCCAAGGTCAGCCTCATAGTTAGTAAGGGCAGGGGGAGTTCAGTGTGAACCCAGCAGGCAATGGAGACAGCAAGACCTCTCCCTAGAAGCGGGCTGAACATCTCGCCGGCTCTTGGGTAATTTAAGGTAAAAGTATGTGAATAACATATTTGTTAAATAACTTCATACCACTGCCAAAGTTGTGAATATTTCAGTTAGGGCTCAATTATGACTTTTGTGTAACTAGTAGTGAATGAAGTGATTTCTACTGTTTAGTGAGTTTTTCAACATATATATATATATATTCTTCTTTGTTGAATCCACGATCATGTGTTATTGAGTAAGCCTATGTGAACTTTGCAAGCATCCCTTAGTCTATTTAATATCTCTATGCCTTTTCTGGTAGTTAAACGACACTTACAGTAAATTAATCCCTCCTTTCAAATAATTGGGGACTCATATGCTGAGATTTATAAGTGCAATTGGCTGATCCTTCCCGCAGTCAATTAGCGTATCTACAGAAGTTTTCGGGGTGGTGGTGGCAGCAGAAGGTCTCCCAAGAGTTCGTTAGTAACTGTAATGTACAGCGTCCTTGTTTGTGCCTCTCCCACTCTACCTTGGCGAACGAACGCCAAAGGTTGCGAGGCGTTAGTCTGGAGGCTACTCAAAGAACTCTGGTGAACGTTAGAATTGTTAATTAACGGCCAGCATTAATCTAGAATTAGAGGTAATGTTTGGGCACCGTTACAGTGAGGAGAGAAGGTGTGAGGAGAGTGTGTATGAGGCGAGTGGGTATGAGGAGAGTGTGTATGAGGAGAGTGGGTGTGAGGAGAGTGTATGTATGGAGAGTGGGGTGTGAGGAGAGTGGGTGTAAGGAGAGTGGGTGTGAGGAGAGTGGGTGTGAGGAGAGTGTGTATGAGGAGAGTGGGTGTGAGGAGAGTGTATGTATGGAGAGTGGGGTGTGAGGAGAGTGGGTGTGAGGAGAGTGTGTATGAGGAGAGTGGGTGTGAGGAGAGTGGGTGTGAGGAGAGTGGGTGTGAGGAGAGTGTATGTATGGAGAGTGGGGTGTAAGGAGAGTGTGTGTGAGGAAAGTGTGTGTGAGGAGAGTGTGTGTGAGGAAAGTGTGTGTAAGGAGAGTGTGTGTGAGGAGAGTGGGTGTGAGGAGAGTGTGTATGAGGAGAGTGGGTGTGAGGAGAGTGTGTATGAGGAGAGTGGGTGTGAGGAGAGTGTATGTATTATTATAGACTGTGGGTTGGTTGGTGGTGTTGTCGCTGTCGTTGATCCTTCTCTACGGACAACCCAACCCACAACTCGGTAGAGTGGTTATACTAGGAGATCACCCTTGGCGCTTCTGGCTCTTGGAGAGGGGCTCAACGTCACACGTTTAGGGGATGCGGCTCCAACACTTAGCCTCGTTGTCACGTGCACACACCCACTCGAGCCGCTGTGACTCCCCACTCTCTCCTTATGAGATATGATCTCCTCAATCCCCTTTTTACTTATTAGTATTACCTTTTACCCTGTCCACAGCAGTGGTTTTTGGTTCTTTCCCTCTCTCTCTCTTCTTCTGTACTATTTCATGGGAAGCCTCACTAGGACAGGGGCAAACACCAGCAAATTGGGATACATTTACTGGACGAAGCACATACACGATACATACACACATATAATAATAATGAATCCTATACTCTATAATATTACAATCAGGTTGCTCTCCAACACAACCAGAACTCTACCATCAGCTTGTCAAGTGGTATCCTATCTCCTGGTTCACCACCTGATACTATCAACCTCCTCAAGTTGATCAAGTCTAAATACACTGTTGCACCATCAGCAAGATAATATATATATAGAAAATCAGCATTTGAATGCAATAACATATATCAGTATAAATGTTCATTGATACACAACAATGATTAATCGATCAATATCAGTCCTAGAACGCATACATCTGTAGGTAATCAAGCCTACGACTGTAACTCTAAACTTCAGCGTAAAACACTCCTTGACATAAGAATGCAAACAGTCACTCACCTCTCACTGCGTCTTGCACGCTACTGACAACCAAACACTATCAACTCCCTACTAGTAATCCACCAGAACTTCCCCTTCCACCTCTGGAAGTTCACTACCCTGATATCTTCAGGTTCTTCCGGGCTTCACTACCAGGATCCTCTGCAGCTCCTCCAGGCTGCTATCATGAAGTTTTCTCGAGCAACTAAGGTGCTCCACCCTTCTGCTAGGTTCCTCCACAGCTCTCTTGGCTGCTACACCGTGAAGTTTCCTCGAGCAACTATGGTGCTTCTCCACCTCTGCCGAAGCACATGACACTCCTCTTCACTGCTGCTTCTCCTCACAGCTCGAGGTCCTCTGCTCCACTACCTTTGGAGTCTCATCAATTACCTCATCTAGGCTGGCTTCGAAGTTCTCAGCAACTTCTTCCCCAAAGACAAACCTGCAACCCATCGACACTCCAATAAAATGTTTCCCCTTTAACACATAAACAAAAATATTCACACAATATGTTTGTCTCAAACCTCTATCTGTCCTCTATATACAGTGAGAGTGGACTCCCCCGTTTTGGGCGGGTCCATACTCCACCTCGCCTGGCGGCGGTCCTCACTCGCTGGGAGGGTCTTCCTCCGTCAGGAGCCAGGCTCCCTCAGTCGCCCGCCAGCGCTCAGAGGGGACGGACGTCGCTCTGTGTTCCTCCCTCTCCACTCTCTTATTTCAGGCCTTCTGCCTTATTAAAACATGTCTAACTTATAAATAAACATCGCTACTGTCGCTGGGCACACGACCAACTACAAGCAATCACTATGAACTGGCGTATATCGTGCTTACCACAGATCGTCTGGTCGAGGGCGCTTCTTCCTCTGACGAGGCTTGGTCAGGGCGCTCCACGGCCCACAATAATGCCTCCGGGCGGCTTAATATTCACTAATTATCGCCCACGACTTGAGACCACACGTCCCCAGCTCGATTCCACAGCTGGTACGTCTGCACACTTCTCTTCTCTTCGAGATATATCACTAGGGGTTCCCTTCTGACGGGAGCTCAACGGAGCGCGGCTTTTCCCCTGCGATGTCTGGCCTCAAGTGAGGTCAAAGCCCCTCCAGAAGCGAGCCTCACGCCTCCAGCAAAATGTCCACATCTCCTAGCCAGTCATTTATCTGTTTTCTTCTTCATTGCCCATAATCTCAAACTGTTATACATATCCAAGCAACTATTTTACATATGCGTTATCACCTCAATATTTGCTAGACCTTCTAATCAGGTCAGGCTTGACGAATAACTCTCAAGGAGGGAGACTCGTTTCTCCTGCAGGCTGAGATCATAACAGTATGGAGAGTGGGGTGTAAGGAGAGTGTGTGTGAGGAAAGTGTGTGTGAGGAGAGTGTGTGTGAGGAGAGTGTGTGTGAGGAAAGTGTGTGTGAGGAGAGTGTGTGTGAGGAGAGTGGGTGTGAGGAGAGTGTATGTATGGAGAGTGGGGTGTGAGGAGAGTGGGTGTGAGGAGAGTGTGTATGAGGAGAGTGGGTGTGAGGAGAGTGGGTGTGAGGAGAGTGGGTGTGAGGAGAGTGTGTATGAGGAGAGTGGGTGTGAGGAGAGTGTATGTATGGAGAGTGGGGTGTGAGGAGAGTGGGTGTGAGGAGAGTGGGTGTGAGGAGAGTGTGTGTGAGGAAAGTGTGTGCGAGGAGAGTGTGTGTGAGGAGAGTGGGTGTGAGGAGAGTGTGTGTGAGGAAAGTGTGTGTGAGGAGAGTGTGTGTGAGGAGAGTGTGTGTGAGGAGAGTGGGTGTGAGGAGAGTGTGTGTGAGGAAAGTGTGTGAGAAGAGTGTGTGTGTGAGGAGAGTGTGTGTGTGAGGAGAGTGGGTGTGAGGAGAGTGGGTGTGAGGAGTGGGTGTGAGGAAAGTGTGTGTGAGGAGAGTGTGTGTGAGGAGAGTGTATGTATGGAGAGTGGGTGTGAGGAGAGTGGGTGTGAGGAGAGCGGGTGTGAGGAGAGTGGGTGTGAGGAAAGTGTGTGTGAGGAGTGTGTGTGTGAGGAAAGTGTATGTATGGAGAGTGGGTGTGAGGAGAGTGGGTGTGAGGAGAGCGGGTGTGAGGAGAGTGGGTGTGAGGAGAGTGGGTGTGAGGAGAGCGGGTGTGAGGAGAGTGGGTGTGAGGAGAGTGGGTGTGAGGAGAGTGGGTGTGAGGAGAGCGGATGTGAGGAGAGTGGGTGTGAGGAGAGTGGGTGTGAGGAGAGCGGGTGTGAGGAGAGTGGGTGTGAAGAAAGTGGGTATGAGGAGAGCGGGTGTGAGGAGAGCGGGTGTGAGGAGAGTGGGTGTGAGGAGAGTGGGTGTGAGGAGAGCGGGTGTGAGGAGAGTTCGTGTGACTAGAGTGGGTGTGAGGAGAGGGGTGTGAGGAGAGTGGGTGTGAAGAAAGTGGGTATGAGGAGAGCGGGTGTGTGGAGATTGGGTGTGAGGAGAGTGGGCGTCTGAGTTGAGCCGTTGTTAAGTGACTGGGAGTTAATTGAGTTAGAGGTGAGAATAACTTATTAGAATGAGATATATGAGCCAGAAAGAGATACAGTGGTGATATATAGGTGCACAAGTGAGAGGTGAGTGTGAAAGCAGTTAGTAGTATTAGTGAGAGGTGAGAGTGAGCGCTCTTCCTCACCTGGAATATTGCAGCTGCCAGCAGAACAATAGTCATCACCAGGATCCACTTGACAGCCCTCATGTCTGTAGGAGTCGTCTGTGTTATCACGTTGACAATTTATATACAATTATCATGGAGTGAATGATATATACAGCGTTAGCGAATACTGTTCCCCCTCAATACACACACTCTCAGCATAGTTCATACAGTAAACACTAATAAAATAAACGCACAATATATACACCAACACAATATACACATAACACAATATATACATGACAGTGCACCGACATTGAGAATATAATCTGTATAACTAACTATTTATAACAAATACATTTTAAAGCCATACATAAAATATCTGGAATCGTGGTTTGTGTCCATATTTCGCCTCTATTTCATAACGAACATATATACTGTGAAGCCTAAAATCATAAACAGAAGCGTTTTCATTACCCTGTAACAACTATTGCTGTGAAGTATTTTATATATTGACAAAACTACTTGCCAGCAATGACTACTATGACATACTGGCATATACAGAAGATACGGAACAAGTAGTGTTCTGTATATATAAATATATATATATATATATATATATATATATATATATATATATATATATATATATATGTCGTACCTAATAGCCAGAACGCACTTCTCAGCCTACTATTCAAGGCCCGATTTGCCTAATAAGCCAAGTTTTCATGAATTAATGTTTTTTAGACTACCTAACCTACCTAATCTAACCTAACCTACCTTTTTCGGCAACCTAACCCAACCTAACCTATGAAGATAGGTTAGGTTAGGTTAGGTAGGGTTGGTTAGGTTCGGTCATATATCTACGTTAATTTTAACTACAATAAAAAAAAATTGACCTCATACATAATGAAATGGGTAGCTTTATCATTTCATAAGAAAAAAATTAGAAAAAATATATTAATTCAGGAAAACTTGGCTTATTAGGCAAATCGGGCCTTGAATAGTAGGTCAAAAAGTGAGTTCTGGCTACTAGGTACGACATATATATATATATATATATATATATGTCGTACCTAGTAGCCAGAACGCACTTCTCAGCCTACTATGCAAGGCCCGATTTGCCTAATAAGCCAAGTTTTCATGAATTAATGTTTTTTCGACTACCTAACCTACCTAACCTAACCTAACCTAACTTTTTCGGCTACCTTACCGAACCAAACCTATGAAGATAGGTTAGGTTAGGTTAGGTAGGGTTGGTTAGGTTCGGTCATATATCTACGTTAATTTTAACTCCAATAAAAATAAATTGACCTCATACATATTCTGACGATACTGCCGCACTGCAGCCCAGACGTCGACTTGTGGCGGAGGCGGAGGGCAGGTGCGACGAGACACCAGCCAATCAGCGACAGGCAGGCAGAGGATGAGCAGTTAGCTGGTTACGGCGGTGGTAGCAGGTGTCACGGTGTGCTGGATACGATTTGCTCTCTGGGCAAAACGTTTGGCGATACTTGGTGGACGTATCTTCTATATTATCTTGTATATTGATGTACTTATGTTGGGAAGAGCAGGCTCAATCTCTCTTGAAAGAGATTATTGTCACAATATATATATATATATATATATATATATATATATATATATATATATATATATATATATATATATATATATATATATATACATTCATATATACTAAGAACAATGAATGATCCGGCTAGGATTCGGACTCATGCCATGCAGGATCACCCCCCTCCAACTTACACAGTACTGTGTAAATTGAAAAACCCTGGTTGGGCACCTAGTACTAGTCATGTTATCGGTAGTTTACTGTGCACCCGATCGTATATAAGGATTAGTCAAACTTGGTGCTTATTAACTAATCTTCTTGACTAACCAACCGCCGACGACACTCGTGGTTCTATTTGGGTACAGTTTTTCATCAATATCAACCTGCCTTCAAGGAAGAAATCCACGCACAGTAATGGATTCCCAGTGACTACGCAATTGGTGGTATTATCTTCTCTCTATCCATAGTTAAGTTAAGTTTAGTTTACTTTAGATTAAGGTTAGGTTAGGTTTCATCACGTTTGCTTAGGCTAATACAGTATAACATTGTCCAAAATGTGAAATATGGAATATATATTGATAGTGAATACTCGAGCTTGAGCGTTAAATTTAGCCTTAGTCACAAACACACACACACACACACACACACACACACACACACACAACACACACACACACACACACACACACACACACACACACACACACACACACACACACACACACACACACACACACACACACACACACACACACACACTCACACTAAATTGTTGCATAGCCACATCAGGAGAAAAACAACAGTAAAGGAATAGGTTATGAAATTAAGGATAGGGGCGGAAGGATTCACTATAAACGACAAGGAAGTGTGTAAGGAACTGAGTAAGAAATTCCAGGAGGTCTTCACCTTAGAACAAGGAGAAATACCCGAGATAAGAGAGGGAATAGCTAACCAGGAACCACTGGAAGAGTTTGAGATTACCAGCGGGGAAGTAAGGAAGTGTTAACTAGAGTTGGATGTGACAAAGGCTATAGGCCCAGATGGAATCTCCCCTTGGATACTAAAGGAAGGAGCAAAAGAACTGTACCTACCACTCTCCATAGTGTATAACAAATCACTGGCAACAGGGAACTGCCAGATATTTGGAAAACAGCTAACGTAGTCCCGATATACAAGAAAGGGTATAGACAGGAGGCACTGAACTATAGGCCAGTGTCCCTAACCTGCATACGATGCAAGCTGATGGAGAAGATTGTGCGAAGAAAGCTAGTGGAGCATCTGGAGCGAAGGAACTTTGTAACACAGCATCAACATGGGTTCAGGGATGGCAGGTCCTGCCTCACAGGGTTACTTGAATTCTACGACCAGGTAACAAAAATATGGCAAGAAAGAGAAGGGTGGGCAGACTGCATAATTTTGCACTGTCAGAAAGCGTTTGATACAGTACCACACAAGAGGCTAGTGAAAAAGCTGGAGATGCAGGCTGTAGTGAAAGGGAAGGTACTCCACTGGATACAGGAGTACCTAAGCAACAAGAGACAACGAGTCTGTGAGGTGTGAGGTCTCAGATTGGCGAGACGTTACAAGTGGAGTCCCGCTGGGGTTAGTCCTTGGACCTATACTGTTTCTGGTATATGTAAATGATCTCCCAGAGGGTATAGATTCGTTTCTCTCAATGTTTGCCGATGATGGAAAAATTATGAGGGGGATTGAAACAGAGGATGATAGTAGGAGGCTACAAGATGACCTAGACAGACTGAGTGAATGGTCCAACAAATGGCTGTTGAAGTTCAACCCGAGTAAATGCAAAGTAATGAAACTAGGCAGTGGAAACAGGAGGCCAGACACAGGATACAGAAAAGAAGATGAAGTACTTAATGAAACAGACAGAGAGAAAGATCTTGGAGTTGATATCACACCAAACCTGTCTCCTGAAGCCCACATAAAAAGAATAACGTCTGCGGCATATGCGAGGCTGGCTAACATCAGAACAGCGTTCAGGAACCTGTGTAAGGAATCATTCAGATTCTTGTACACCACATATGTAAGACCAATCCTGGAGTATGCAGCCCCAGCTGGAAAAAGTCCAAAGGTATGCTACTAGACTAGTCCCAGAACTAAGAGGCATGAGTTACGAGGAAAGGCTGCAGGAAATGCACCTTACGACACTGGAAGGCAGAAGAGTAACGGGGGACATGATCACAACCTACAAAATCCTCAGGGGAATCGACCGGGTAAACATGGAAAAACTATTCAACACTGATGGGACGCGAACAAGGGGACACAGGTGGAAACTGAGTACCCACATGAGCCACAGGGACGTAAGAAGGAACTTTTTCAGTGTCAGAGTAGTTAACGGATGGAATGCATTAGGCAGTGATGTGGTGGAGGCTGACTCCATACACAGTTTTAAATGTAGATATGATAGAGCCCATTAGGCTCAGGAACCTGTACATCAGTTGATTGATCTGTTGAGAGGCGGGACCAAAGAGCCAAAGCTCAACCCCCACAAGCACAAATAGGTGAGTACACACACACACACACACACACACACACACACACACACACACACACACACACACACACACACACACACACACACACACACACACACAGGCACTGAACTACAGGCCAGTGTCCTTGACTTGTATACCATGCAAGGTGATGGAGAAGATCGTGAGAAAAAACCTGGTAACACATCTGGAGAGAAGGGACTTCGTGACAAATCGCCAACATGGGTTCAGGGAGGGTAAATCATGCCTTACAGGCTTGATAGAATTCTACGATCAGGTGACAAAGATTAAGCAAGAAAGAGAGGGCTGGGCGGACTGCATTTTCTTGGATTGTCGGAAAGCCTTTGACACAGTATCGCATAAGAGGCTGGTACATAAGCTGGAGAGACAGGCAGGTGTAGCTGGTAAGGTGCTCCAGTGGATAAGGGAGTATCTAAGCAATAGGAAGCAGAGAGTTACGGTGAGGGGTGAGACCTCCGATTGGCGTGAAGTCACCAGTGGAGTCCCACAGGGCTCTGTACTCGGTCCTATCTTGTTTCTGACATATGTAAATGATCTCCCGGAGGGTATCGATTCATTTCTCTCAATGTTTGCGGACGATGCTAAAATTATGAGAAGGATTAAAACAGAAGAGGACTGTTTGAGGCTTCAAGAAGACCTAGACAAGCTGAAGGAA